GTTTTAGTTTGTTCGAATTTCGTTTTTTTTCATTCCTGGTTCTCTTCGTTCCTTCTCCGTTCTCCGTTCCCGAGGGGTTTCATTCCCCCCCTTCTCCTCTCTCTCTTCCCTCCTCTAACCATAACTAACCCCCCTTATAGGACACATGGAGCGCCACCTGGCCGACGAGCGAGGAGGATCGGGCGATGAGGGTGGATTGGGTGAAGATGTGGGGGATGTGTTGAGAGAAGGTGAGGAGGATGATGAGCCACGATGTTGGTTAGGAATAGGAATGAAGGACTTGGACTAGGAATCGGAATGAAGAACTAGGTGCTCAGGTGGAGGTGTGGGGAGAGAGAGAGAGGTAGGTGGGGATGGGTATTCGGAAACACGAGGAATCAGGATCTCAAGGATGTTGATATTGATTATATTTGGGGTGTTTCAATAAAGGACAGAGAACGGATAAGTGGACAGATAGATAGAGAACAGTCGTTCTGGTTTCGGTCGTTAGGGGTTTTAAAAAAAATATATATATATACCAGATGCCGGATGCGATATTTTATATATACACACAGCAGATACATATACATATACATCTTATATATATACCAGATACACTGCTTTTCTCTTCATTCTTCATTCTTCATTTTTCTCCTTTTTCTCTTCCTCTTCCTTTTTGATTTACATGAATCCTCACATGCACAACTGACGGTGTAAAGCCAACACAGTCCGAGTCAGAAGTCGCATCCATCTATCGTATCATAATCATCAGAGTACATAGTGTGGAAACAGTACAGAAGACGGCTTGCCGGCGCTATGTCTCGAGTTAAGAAATGACCTTGTGCAAAGCAAGGTGACTTGATGCGGTTAGCCTTCGAATTTTATCTCTAATCTTATCTAATCCAATAATCGATTCTGCTTATAAAAGATTTTCAAAAAATAGTAAATACCTCGTCCTAGTTCATTCATCCCTCTCAAAAACTGCTGGTCAGGTTCAGAGAAACAATTCACCGTTGACGCGTGACGGTCTACCAAAAAAAAAAAAAACACACACAAAACTCCCTCCTTCTGTCTCACAGCTAGGTACGTTTGTTCATTGCGCATTCGCAGCTAATCATTCCTCATTCCAATTTTGCGTTTTGGTAGTTGATTCGAATTTTCTTCCCAAACAATCAGAATGTATTTCAACCCTGTTTATCTTGTCCTGGGTCTTGCATCTGCTGCGTATGCTATGCCGTTTGTCGTGCGTTACATACACATCACTGTTAACAACTCTCACCAACTTTCATCTCTTTTTAGGCCACCACTCCCGCCACCACTCCCCAAAACTCCCAACCCCAATTAATCACCCGCGCAAACAGTCGATCCTCGCTAATCGCCAAAATAGCCTTCACAGGACCCCACGAAGGACAAGGTATATCCGAAGCCACACCCATCCACGGATTCGCAATCTCCTCATCAAAAGAAGCAGAGGACTACGGAATAATGCCGTCCAAAATCTACAAACGAGTCAAAAAAGCTGTGAAATCGCTGGTCCCCCAGGAACACAAAGACCGCGATTTGATCCTTACTTTCGAAGCTCACTTTGCGGGTTCGACTAATGATGTGTTTGAGATTTGTTTGACTTGGAACGGGCAAGGTACGGATGCGTATTATTTGAAGATTGATAAGAAGGGGAATGTGGTTCCTGGGTCATTGAGCGTGAGTGTTTTTTTTTTTACGTGCCACCCCCTCCCCTCGTCGTTGTCGTTGTTAGACTAATTGCTAACAATTTTCTTTTCTTTTTGTCATAATAGCAATTCGAACAAGGATCTGGATCGGAATAATTTCTTGGGTTGACTTTTTTTTTTTTGTTTGTGCAAAGCATAGTACGTAGCGTACGTAGACCAAACACCGCCTCGTTCTGTTCTGTTCTGTTCTTTGCATGGCATGGCATAGCGCAATTAGTCAATACTCCCAATCAATGGTTGCACAGATGCCAAGTGATGTGAAGCACCAACCCTAATATAACCCAGCATTTGCTTTACCCACCTCAGATGCGCATGGCCCTGACGCGTTTCATTGCATTCGTTGTGTACTCCGACAAGGGCCCTCTGCCCTCCACCCGCCTCCGACGCAACTTGAATAAAAAAGTCAGTGTTCAATGTTGAGCGTGATCATGGTAATTCATGGTATACCTCACTCACGATTGACTAACCCTCAACCCTCAACCCACCTTCCCCAGAACTTGGTTCGGCTCGAGAAAGCGCACGGGGGAGCACATGAACTTGAACCTACTACATTACGAAGAAAAGAAAACTGAAAAAACTCGCTATGTACGTATCAGTCCCAATCACCGCCAGATTCGCTTCGCATGAAACAACACTAGGGCAGCTGCTTTTGCTTTTGGACCCCTACTTCCACAGGCTTTCCATTCCATTAATTGGTATCAGTCAAATAAAATAAAAACACAACTTGAATCCCCTTTTACATATCATAGGTTATCACCCTTGGCTAAGGAGACCAGAATATAAGCGGTTGTACGATCTATACATATGTACTACGATGGTACACTCCGTCGCCTCCTGTCGCTCCCCGGTGTTTGAATGAGCAACGTCGATGTCGATGCAAATCCGTCGGAAGTTCCGGATGATCAGCAAAATCCCTTCGATTAATCATCACCCCCCCCCCCAAACCAAACCGCCGTCCCTGAGGCGTTACATAAACAGTAGGGTTATATAAAGATTCACACGAGTCTTTCAGCCAGCTTCGTTCCCTCGATCAAGGCTGCTGGTCAGTCCAAAAAAAAAACAAAAAATTACCACTTGTTTTCTGGTCAAAAACCCTCCTCCGTTCATTATTCTCCCCTCCCCTCCCCCTTGCACTGAACTCCATCCGAAACCCACGGTATGTCGAACCAAGGCGATCTTAGGCTTTCATGACATCTAATTCTGAGTTTTTTTTTTTCTTTTTTCTTCGCAAGGTTTAAGAAAAAAAATGCGCTTCATCAACTTCCATGTTTACTATCTCGTCTTGTGTGTTGGTGTAGTATTCACAGTCGGGTATGCTATGCCTTTTCAGGTGCGTGAGGGGCTTCCGCACTCATATGTATGACATATATATATGTCTCTTCTAGCCCGACTCCTCATCCACTCCGCATCCCAAATTCGCCCGTGCAAATACCAACCCCCAGCTCCTAGCCACCCTCACCTTCGTCGAAACGCATTCCGGCGCCGCAATATCCGGTGCCCCTTCAACCGGATTCGTGCTTTCCACCAAAGACGCACAACACTACAACCTCGTCCCGTTAAAAATCCACAAACGGCTCCGGAAGGCAGTGAAATCCCTCGTCCCGTCTCAAGACAAAGATTGGGATCTAGTTCTTGCGTTCAAGAATCGCTTCAAGGCCTCCCGTGATAAAAATGATGCATTCAAAGTGTTCTTACTTGGTATCGGGGAGTGTCTCGATGGGTGTTGGTTTGATGTTGATCAAAGTGGGAAGATTGTCGCGGGGTCGATGGAGGTGAGTACTCCTCCCCTTTGTACCTCGATGTGGATCCATTGGTTTTAACAATTCGGATTTGTGTAGTTTCCTTCCGACTCGGAGGCTGGCTCGGAATGAGAATGAGGGGGGAAAGACGTTTATGTACAACCGTAGTGTAGTATGTATAGATCGTACAATATTTACAACGCTCCGTCGTCGTCGTCTTCCACAGCGACGGGACGGCGGCGGGCATTAATTCATTTGATTTGACATTCATTTGTTCGTTTGTTCGTAACATACACACTCCGACGGGTCTCCGACGCTTTAACCACAGTTTACGCTCAACCACTTTCCACACTTTCCATTCCATTCCAGAACTATTAGAATATATGTACAGCGACGAACCGTCAGGGGAAACCAAAAAAAACCTCGCTATATCCATCTCCTTATCTCATCTCGTATACAGACGTCAAGTCCAAAGGGGTCGACGGAGAAGGGGGGGGGGGGAGGCAGTTCTGGGCAGTTATGTATAGTTGATTTTCCAATTTCACCGATAGATGAAACGAAACGCCCTATGGTATGTATGTACCACATCGCCTCACAATTGTAAATTGTAAATTGTATATATAAATAGCAAAATATACTGAAATAAAAGAAATCGTCTTTACCTTTATATCACCCCTCCCTCCCCCCACAGATAAAGGAACTCACTGCTGGTCAGTTTGAGAAAACCAGAATACAAACCACAAAACACAAAAACCAAAACACAGTACCAGAAACACGAGAACAATGCGTTTCGAATACAACACCACCCTATTCCTCATCGTCGTAGGTCTTGCCTCGACTGCGTATACCTTACCCTTTGAGGTTCGTCCAAATCTTCCTCACTTCATGTAATATCTATATTCTTACTCTCTCCCTTCTTCTAGACATCCCCCTCACCCAATCTAACCACCCGCGCAGTATCCCTCACCCCCTCCCAACCCCCCACGGACCCCAACACAGGCACAGGCACAGGCACGATAACCTTCCTCGGCACACACAGCGGCGTCCCCCTCCTCCCCCACGAGTCCCCCAAAATCTCCACAGCGTACGAGGACGGTCACATCCCCAGCGACGTCTACAAGCGAGTACGCAAGGCCGTGCGGGAGGTGGTGCCTGGGTGGGGCGGTGGGGTTTTGGCATTTTCGAATTCGTTCGAGGGGAATGGGGGAGGGGTGGGGGAGATGAGTGGTGGTGGTGGTGGTAGGAACGTAGCGGGGGCTCGGGGAAGGGTTGTGCAGTACGGGGTGATTGAGGTGAGTTTGGAGGGGATAGGGAGATGTCACCCCGGCGGGTGTACATTTAAGATTGATAGGAATGGGAAGGTGGTGCAGGGTTCACTTGTCGTGAGCGATATTTCTTCTTCCGTGGATTATGTAACTGATGTGATAATCTATGTAGGTCCAGAGTTGATTTATTAGTACTCAGAGTAGTGTCAAACAAGTTGTACCAGACTGAGATATCACCAAGTATATTGAGAAAGTGCCAGAAAAAAACATCATTTTTATGCAACTAGTGACCACCGCAGGGGTCGAACCTGCAATCTCCTGATTACAAATTTATCGTAGTCAGACGCGATGCCATTTCGCCAGGCGGCCAATAAAAATGTTCCCAAGATCATGTGATATCACCATTCCATGGCCCACTCCCCAAATTCTAATCGTACCTTGCATCACGTCCCAACTTTCCCATCTGACAGACAATGACTCTCGACATTTTTCCCTTATTCAACGGTCTTCAAGGGGGTGTCATATGTACCGCGAAAACTCTATTCATCCTCATCCCCAGACATTGATTTCATGATATCTGTTCCTTATCACTCCAGTCAAAACCTCCCCAATGATATCTCGACAAACCATTCCAAGCGGATGGGCTTTTAATTCCTGTTTCATGTGAGTAATATCCATTTATAATACCGTGTATTTCATTAATTAATTAATTAATTATCATCGCTATCCTCCTCCTCCTCTTCCTCATACCTCATTCCTCGTTTGTTTTCCAGCGACAACACCTCAGCCGGCCGGCTGCTCACCATCAACAGCGGGCTCCCACCCGATACGATGACCGTACCCGAATGTATCGAGTATTGTTCCTCCAATAACTGGGCGTACGCAGGTGTCGAGTATGCCAGCGAATGTTGTATGTCCCATAAACAATTTTTTTTTCCAATTTTCCACCGTAATGATCTGACTCACTCCTCGGAAAGATTGCGATCAAGTCCTACATGAGGTCGGTTCGCAGGTCACTGCAGCGAGCGACTGCAACATGCCGTGTACTGGCGACCCTTCTCAAACCTGCGGAGGTCCAAACCTCATCGACGTGTACTGGGACGGGGACTCGACTATACCCTCAAGCCCGCCTACCTTGTACAAGAGTTATTGGTCATACAGTGGGTGTTTCGTGTATGTACCCCTCTCCCCCCCCATGATTTTTCGAGTATGGCGGTGTTGATACTAGGGTGTACACAGGGACGACACTACCCAGCGAACACTCGCTCAACAGGTATACCCTGATTCGGGTATTGTAACCCCCCTGAGCTGCGCAGATACATGCGCGTTTTATGGTTATACGGTGATGGGAACCGAATTTGGAGGCGAATGTTGTGCGTCCATCCCTCTTTCTACTTAGTGACTAGTATTGATTCGATACAGGGTGTGGCAACACCACCAACTCCGCCTCCCAACTCCCCGACACCTCCTGCACCATGTCCTGTACCGCCAACCGAGACTACCTCTGCGGCGACGCAGCTCGTCTATCAGTCTACCATCACAACACCCCCCCCGCAGGAAACCTACACCGGCGAATGCCTCGACTTAGACCTCCCACCCTGGGTGGACATCTCCAATTTCACCGTCCTCGCGATCCCCAAGGAGGGTCCGACGGCTGAAGGGGGGTGGGAGGGCGCGCAGCTGAGTGTTGTGGATGTTTTGGTGGAGGGGGATACGACGTATTCGGTGCTTTCGGTATGTCCTGGATTGTGGATTAATCCATGATAATGATTATTTTCTTACTATATCTTGCATAGGCATGTCAAGACTGCACCGTCACCTGGCTCGGGCTTTCTTTCAGTGGCGAGGGAGCCGGGTACTTGATCCCTTCCTCCCCGAACCGGGACGGAGCCCTCCCGATGCTCAGCCTCAACCTCGTCGCAGGGGAGAGTGTGCGATTTCAAACTGAGGCGAGTATTACGAGTATTGATTATCCCAATTTTTGTACAACGGTGAGTTCCATCTTCCTCCTTCCCCCTCTTCTCCTCCCCTTCCTCCCATTCCCCCTACTCCCTCCCCCCTTCCCCCTCCCCCCTCAAGCTTATCATCACAACCCTTTCTTTTTTACTTATCTTCCACCTGGCAGGCAAACCCCTACCCCCCAAACACCACCTCCTCCCCAACCAACGGTCCCGTTCTCCAAGGCGATTACCACGCCGATGCGTGGGCGATGTGTCCTAATATCTCCGCGGTGCCGGAGGGGCGTTTGGATCTGGTTTCGCAGCCTCAGGGGGGGCATGCGGATTATGATGTGGAGGAGTGTGTTGCGGTTGATGTGTGGGTGCAGTGAGGAGTATGGTGTAAGGTGACCAGCGTCGTTGATGGGGGGTTTTCGTTTCCTTCGATGGTTTTGAATGTTTTGAATGTGTTATTTTGTTCTGTTATGTTCCTGTTCTGTTCTAAGATTCCTCGAGGAGGAGGAGGGGGTTCGGGTTTCGGGGTTTTTTTTTCTGGGTTTTTTTTTTGTGACTCTGTCTAGTTTCTTTCTTTCCGGCTCTATCTTGATGTTGTACTGAATATCGAATATATGTCATGATCAATTTTCCACCTGGTGACCCAGAGCGAACTCGAAGACCGTATTGTTATTGTATTCCAAGGCAGACATTGTATTATTGCATAGTAGTAAATCGGCTGGTTAGGGCTAATCCGAGTCAACGACAAGGTCACCTCTTTTTTTCTCGTCAGAGTATTGCTTATTCGGACAACAAATTTCGATGGACACTCAAGATGGTACTAGGATTATTATCGAGAGTGTATGTAGGTCCATTCGTCTATCTGGTGAAGCCTGATGCGCAAATTCGTCTCGGGTTTTTTCGTCCGCCGAGTTTAGAGAAGAGCCAAAAAGAGCCTGCCCAACTTCTTATTACCCTTCACCCTTGTCCGATGTCTGAAATCTGATTATTCACGTCGACTTTGAAGCCTGAGAGCTTGGCGCTCTAGCCTGACATAGGCTTTCTATCACTATCTCCTTGTCCAACTCCAAGATCAAGATCAAATTCCCTGCCCAGTCGGTCGTGTCAAAGTAAAAAAATGATCATATTCTGAACTTGAAGGTTGATGCGGACGTTGGCAACTGCATGATGGGACATCTCGAGAGACGACAAGTACGACTCGGAGTAACCTGTCTGATTGATATTACTTCAAATGCCCCCCTTCCCCCCTCGGGGCTTAGTTTTGGTATCACGTACTAGCGTTCACATGGCCATGTCGGCGCATCGATCTATCTCTATCTCCTCAACGCCGTCCAGTTCCTGATATGCTGCTCTGAATAGAACCACACCAGACCAGGAGTCAGCAAGCCTTACCTTTCTCAGTGCGCCCTTTTTCTCGGAACATCAAGGGGTACTAAAAACTTAGTTCTAGGTAATGCTTGGCGGTCCTGTCCTGGTCAGCGAAAAAAATTCCTGTACTATATAAAACTCGTCCGGTGGGCTCAAGCTATTGGTTCATCGGGATCTAATATGAGACTCCTCCAAGTATCTCATCGGCTGCTCTTTGCGTTGTTCATGCACTGTGAATTCTGGGTAGGCTCGGTCGGACTGCTCGTAGTACACACATCCACTCTGCTTCAATCTCATCGTTCCCATCATCTAGTTTCTTGCTGTTCAAGTATATGGTTCCAGCATTTCCGTGCGACAGACCGACATCCCAACTGGATGGTATCCTTATTCTTGTTTCATGTGAGTTGTTTCGACTTTCAACTTTCACTCCGCTGGTTCGGCTAAGACTTGTTTTACCATACAGCGATAACACATCGGCTGGTCGCCTGCTTACCACCAACAGCGGCCTTCCATCAAATACCATGACGAAAGTCGTATGTATAGAGTACTGCGCTGCGAACAATTGGACATATGCAGGTGTTGAAGACGGGGGTGATTGCTGTGAGTTCTTCGCACCAGCTTCGTAGAAGAAATCCAGTGAGTTTGGAACCCGCTTCATCTCTTTCTGTAGATTGCGACGAGCTATTTCACGAAGATGGCTGGCAAGGGACCGACTCTAGCGAATGCAATATGCCGTGTAACGGCGATCCGACTCAGACTTGCGGCGGTCCTAATCGTATCGATGTATATTGGAACGGCGATTTTTATACACCCAGCAGTCCTGCGACTCTGTCCCGCAGTTATTGGTCCTACGGTGGTTGTTTCGAGTGCGTCGTTTGGCAACGACAGCCTGAGGCGTTGAACTTTTTATTCTATTTGTCATTTCCAGGGATAGCCCCAGCCAAAGAACCCTCAGTGCTCAAGAGGCTGCTTATGGTGGTGTAACCCCAGCTACCTGCGCAGATGCTTGCGCGTTCAATGGGTATACCGTAATGGGCACTGAATACGGTGGCGAATGCTGTAAGTCCTCAAGCCACTGCTTATTCCAACTCACTTTCGATAATTCATCAATTCCCGACGCAGGGTGTGGCAACAGCACGGGTGCAGCAGCTCAAGTCCCCGACACCGAATGCGCGATGACCTGTAGCGCGGACAGAGACTACCTATGTGGAGACGCGAATCGACTTTCGGTGTATCACCACAACCCCCCTCCCCCAGAAACTTACACAAATCAGTGTATCACGGAACTCCCGACTTGGCTTGATTCTTCGCATTTTTCTCTTCTCGCGGACCCAAAAGAGCCGTCGACGTCGGGCAGTGGCTGGGATGGTGCGATTTTGCGGATTATAGATGTCTTGACGGTGGAAGATACGACTTGGTCGATTCTCTCAGTACGTTGTTTCTGTTCGCGTAAGTATGCACTAATACTCCATGTTGCAGGCATGTCAAGCTTGTAATATAACCTGGCTTGATCTTTCTTTCAGTTCGAGCAGTGGGGGATCCTTGATTCCCGAGTCTTCGTACCTCAACGGTGTCGCCCCGATGATCAGCCTGGATCTTACCCCTGGAGAAAGTGTCATATTCCAGACTCAGTCAACGCTACCTGCTGGATATAACGGATATACTGGATATTGCGCATCCGTGAGTTTATACTTCGGTACTGAGACAATTTTCATACATTTCTTTCCAGGATGATCCATATCCTCCTGAGCAGTCAATGGGTAACTCACCAACAGATGGCCCAGTCTTGCTAGGCAATGGACATGCAGATGACTGGGTGATGTGTCTAAACTCAACGGCATTCCCAATCAACCGACTAGACCTTGTTTTCCAGCCAAAGGCAAATCATCCTAACTATAATCTCGAAGAGTGTATTGCAGTGGATTTGTGGCTGGAATGATCCATAAATTCAACTTATGTTCTGTTCAAATCTGTCAATGCCATGGCGAATAATCTCGAATAATGATATTCTATGCTACACCCTGAAATAAGAATTTCGGTTCCGCTGCT